AGAATGGCTCAGGACACCCCAAAATTGCCCCAAAATGGCTGAAAACACCCCAAAAAGGAGTCAGGAAACCCAAGGCCCAGAGAAGGCCCCAAAGCCAGCCTCGAAGTAGGCCCAGAACCCCTCAAAAAAGGCCTCAAAATACCCCAAAACGCCTCAAAACGCCCCCAGAAACACCTCAAAATGCCCCAAAATGGAGTCAGGACACCCCAAAGTGAGTCAGGATACCCCAAAACTGCCCAAAAAGAGGTCAAAATAGCCCAAAAAGGGGTCAGGAAACCCTAGGCCCAAAGAAGGCCCCAAAGGCAGCCCATAGGCCCAGAATCCCCCCCAAAAAAGGCCTCGAAAGGCCCCAAAAAGGCCTCAAAATGCCCCAAAAATGCCTCAAAAAACCCCAGAATGGAGTCAGGACAACCTAAAATGGCTCAGGACACTCCAAAATTGCCCCAAAATGGCTGAAAACACCCCAAAAAGGAGTCAGGAAAACCCAAGGCCCAGAGAAGGCCCCAAAGCCAGCCTGGAAGTAGGCCCAGAACTCCTCAAAAAAGGCCTCAAAATACCCCAAAACGCCTCAAAACGCCCCCAGAAACACCTCAAAATGCCCCAAAATGGAGTCAGGACACCCCAAAGTGAGCCAGGATACCCCAAAATTGCCCAAAAAGAGGTCAAAATAGCACAAAAAGGGGTCAGGAAACCCTAGGCCCAAAGAAGGCCCCAAAGGCAGCCCATAGGCCCAGAATCCCCCCCAAAAAAGGCCTCGAAAGGGTCCAAAAAGGCCTCAAAGTACCTCAAAAATGCCTCAAAAAACCCCAAAATGGAGTCAGGACACCCCAAAGTGGGTCAGGACACCCCAAAATTGCCCAAAAATGGTCAAAATACCCCAAAAAAGGTATCAAGGCACGCCAGGCCCAGAGAAGGCCTCAAAGTCAACCCGGAAGTAGGCCCAGAATCCCCCCCCCACACACACAAAAAAGGTCTCAAAATGCCCCAAAACCACCTCAAATCACCCCAAATTTGCAGGGGACCCCCGAAAACTCACCCGTCCCCCCCGTCCAGGCGCTGCTCGGCGGCGATGGCCTTTTCGTCGGGGCGGCCGGCCTTCTCCAAGAAGCAGAGAGCGGGGTCGGCCCTCATGGTGTTGTACCTCTCGTAACCTGGTTTTAATAAAAAAAACTCTTAAAAAAAACCATTTTCCCCAAAATTTTAGCTCGGAAACAGGGTTTCCCCGACTCCTACCGTGTTTGAAGACCCCGATCAGGAGGGATTTGTCAGCCTCGGCGTCCCACCAGGAGGTGGGGACCTCCAGTTGCTCCACCAGAGGGAACCAGATGTCGATCTCGCTGTGGGGAGAGGAATTTGGGGGGGATTTAAAGGTTTTTTTGGGGTGGGGGACCCCAAAGTGGGGCTGGGACAACCCAAGACACCATAAAGTTGAGCTGGAGAACCTCAAAGCACCTTGAAGTGGGGCTGGAGAACCTCAAAGCACCTCGAAGCGGGGCTGGAGAACCTCAAGGAGGTTCTGGAGAACCTCAAACCACCTCAAAGGGGGGTGGGGAACATCAAACCACCTCAAAGTGGGACTGGAGAACCTCAAACTACCTCGAAGTGGGGCTGGAGAACCTCAAGAAGGTTCCAAAGAACCTCAAACTACCTCAAAGTGGGGCTGGAGAACCTCAAACTACCTCGAAGTGGGGCTGGAGAACCTCAAGGAGGTTCTGGAGAACCTCAAACTACCTCGAAGTGGGGCTGGAGAACCTCAAATCACCTCGAAGCGGGGCTGGAGAACCTCAAGGAGGTTCTGGAGAACCTCAAACAACCTCAAGGAGCTTCTGGAGACCCTCAGACCTCCCCGAGGAGACCCCGGAAGACCTCAAAGAAGGTCCTGAGGACTCACCTGGCCATTGCCCCCGCCAGGACCTTCTCCGCCTGGTCCCCGATGACCTCCTGCCGCAGGTAGTAGAGCATCCGCACCCTCAAGAGAACCCTGGGAGATGACGGAAGGTGGTGGGCAACCAAAAAATAAGAAGGAAAGGAAGGGGTTGGAGAAGACCTTGCGGTGGCCCTCGGTGGTGGCCACCAAGGAGACCTCAACCCACTTGTTGCATTGATGTTTGAGGTGTTTCTTGTAGCTCTCATCTTGGAAGAGGGTGTCGGGGTTGTATTTTCGGATCCAATCAACCTTGTGGACATCAAAAGAGCTTTGGGACTTGATCTTCTTCCCCTTCCGACCACGAGGAACCGGGATGGAAAGTCCTGGAGATCCGAGAGAAGAAGGAGAAGAACCTCAAAAAAACCAACCCCCTTCCACGGTTCAAGGTCTTGGACCTTCAAGAGAAATCTTGAAGATCCAAGAGATGGAAAGAAGAAGGACCTTCAAAAGTTTAGGACTTTCAAGAAGGACTTTCAAAGGTTTAGGACCTTCAGGAAGGTCCATGACAAGTAGGACCTTCAAAGGTTTAGGACCTTCAAGAAGATCCATAAGAAGAAGAACCTTCAAAGGTTTAGGACCCTCAAGAAGGACCTTCAAAGGTTTGGGACCTTCAAGAAGGTCCACTTGGCTTGTCCCCAAGTTGGTGGAGAAACCCATCTCACCCGAGTGGTTTTGGAGCTCCTTGGTCTTGCCGTTCTCTGTGGGGCTGATGAGGTCCCAGATGAAGCTCTTGATGTTCTCATCTCCCCGGTAATGGAGAAGACAATAGACCAAGATGGTCCTACAGATGGTCTCCACGTCCCGCTCCGAGAGACGACGCTTGAACCTCCCGTGGGACAAGATCTCCCGCCAACGGCCCCATCTGGAAGGGGTGGAGAAGGCCATGGGGTCAAGGAGGTCCACGGTGGGCTTTCTCCACCACCCACCACCCAGATCTCCATGGAAGAGCTTGTGGTGGCCACCAGAGAACAGCTGGACCTGGTCTACCTTGTCCACCAAGAACCTCCTCATGGTGATCACCGAGAAACATCTCATGGTGGCCACCAGAGCAGACGTAGACCTTCTCCACCAAGAAGCTGCTGGACCTGGTCTACCTTGTCCACCAAGAACCTCCTCATGGTGATCACCGAGAAACATCTCATGGTGGCCACCAGAGCAGACGTAGACCTTCTCCACCAAGAAGCTCCTCATGGAGGCCACCAAGAACCTCCTTGTGGTGGCCACCAGAGAAGAGCTAGACCTGGTCTACCTTCTCCACCAAGAACCTCCTTGTGGTTGCCACCAAAACACACCTACATCTTGACCCATATCCTTTTTCCACCCAGAACCTCCTTGTGGTGGCCACCAAGAACCTCCTCGTGGTTGCCACCAAAACACACCTACATCTTGACCCATATCCTTTTTCCACCCAGAACCTCCTTGTGGTGGCCACCAAGAACCTCCTCGTGGTTGCCACCAAAACACACCTACATCTTGACCCATATCCTTTTTCCACCCAGAACCTCCTTGTGGTGGCCACCAAGAACCTCCTCGTGGTTGCCACCAAAACACACCTACATCTTGACCCATATCCTTTTTCCACCCAGAACCTCCTTGTGGTGGCCACCAAGAACCTCCTCGTGGTTGCCACCAAAACATACCTACATCTTGACCCCTCTCCTTTCTCCATCGAGAACCTCCTCGTGGTGGCCACCAAGAACCTCCCCAACAAAGCCCACCAAGGACCATCTCTCGGTGGCCACCAGGAACCATCTCCTGGAGGTCACCAGAGCAGACGTGGACTAAGAACCTCCTTGTGGTGGCCACCAGAGAAGAGCTAGACCTGGTCTACCTTCTCCACCAAGAACCTCCTTGTGGTTGCCACCAAAACACACCTACATCTTGACCCATATCCTTTTTCCACCCAGAACCTCCTTGTGGTGGCCACCAAGAACCTCCTCGTGGTTGCCACCAAAACATACCTCGATCTTGACCCCTCTCCTTTCTCCATCAAGAACCTCCTCATAGAGACCACCAAGAACCTCCTCGTGGTTGCCACCAAAACACACCTACATCTTGACCTACCTCCTCTTTCCACCCAGAACTTTCTTGTGGTGGCCACCAAGAACCTTCTCATGGTTGCCACCAAAATGCACCTACATCTTTCTCCATCAAGAACCTCCTTGTGGTGGCCACCAAGAACCTCCTCCCGAAGCCCACCCAGGACCCCGTGGCCACCAGCCCCACCCGTGGACCTTCCCCTCGCCCCCTCACCCGTAGACCAGGAGGTTCTTCTCCACGCGGAAGCAGTCGGTGCGCCCGTAGGCGTGGTGGAAGGTCTGATGGTGACGGTCGTGCCGACGGGACCTCGGTTTCTCCTCATCTTCACTCTCCAGGTCCGAGAACTCCACCAGGTCATCGTCCCTCTTGACCTGTCTCCTCTCTCCACCCAGAACTTTCTTGTGGTGGCCACCAAGAACCTCCTCGTGGTTGCCACCAAGAACCTCCTCGTGGTTGCCACCAAAACACACCTACATCTTGACCCCTCTCCTCTCTCCACCCAGATCCAGGTCGGCTTTTTTGGCCCATTTTTGCCAGAAATTGGGGTCGTCCAAAGCGATGTCCGTGCGGTTTTCCGAAGCCACGAAGCTGGCCTGGGGTGGGACAAAGAGGTGGAGATGACCTTGGCCACCACCCAGGTGGGACAGGAAGGTCCCAGATGACCTTCAAAGCCCCTTTCTCTTGGTGGAACCCCATCCCCGTGGTCTTCAAACCCCTTTCCCCTTGGAAGACCCCCATCTCCATGGTCTTCAAACCCTTGGTAGATCCCATCCTCGTGGTCTCCACACCCTGTATCTCATGAAGGACACCACGGATGGGGTCCATGGTCTTCAAACCCACCTATGGGGTCTCCACGCCCCATATCTCATGGAGGACACCACCCATGGGGTCTTCCCACCTCATTTCTCATGATGGAACCCCATCCCCATGGTCTTCAAACCCTTGGTAGATCCCATCCTCGTGGTCTCCACACCCCACATCTCATGGAGGGCACCACCCGTGGGGTCTTCTGAGGTGGGATTTGACCACCACGGATGGTGAGAAGAAGCCCCTGGAGATACCTTGGCGAAGGTGGACCCTTTGCCCTCGCTCTCGATGGTGATGGTGGTGGTTCGACGGAGGAGGATCTGGTCGATGTCCTCCTCGCAGAACTTGGAACCTTCATCGTCCTCCTCCATGATGGCGGCGTAAGCCCCTTTGCGGAGAAGGTCCTCGATCTCCTTCTTGGAGAACTGTTGGATCTACCGGGAAGGTGGAGATGTGGGGTCAACCCCATGGAGGTCCACGTCCCACCCCAAACCACCTTCGAGCCCCGCTGTCCCTCAAAACGAAGGTCTTCACGACGTATCTCATGGAGGACACCACCCATGGGGTCTCCATGACCCATTTCTCCTGGTACGTCCCCATCTCCATGGTCTTCCCTTGGTAGAACCCCATCCCTCGTGGGCTCCCCACCCCATATCTCATAGAAGACACCACCCATGGGGTCTCCACGCCCCATATCTCATGGAGGACACCACCCATGGAGTCTCCACACCCTGTATCTCATGGAGGACACCACCCATGGGGTCTCCACACCCCGTATCTCGTGGTAGAACCCATCCTTGTGGCCTTCAAAGCCCGTTTCTCTTGGAGAAACCCCTTCCTCGTCATCTCCACACCCCATATCTCATGGAGGACACCACCCATGGGGTCTCCATGACCCGTATCTCATAGAAGACACCACCCATGGGGTCTCCATGACCCATTTCTCCTGGTACGTCCCCATCTCCATTGTCTTCCCTTGGTAGAACCCCATCCCTCGTGGGCTCCACACCCTGTATCTCATGGAGGACACCACCCATGGGGTCTCCACACCCCGTATCTCATGGAGGACACCACCCAGGGGTCTCCACACCCCGTA